TTTTATACAGAGAGGAAGGGAGAGAGATAGAGAGTTAGAAACATCGATGAGAGAGAGTCATCGATCAGCTGCCTCCTGCACACCCCCCACTGGGGATATGCCCGCAACCAAGGTACATGCCCTTGACCGGAATCGAACCCGGGACCCTTCAGTCCCCAAGCCGACGCTCTATCCACTGAGCCAAACCGGTCCCGGCCTTAGTTTACTTTTTAAAAAAAGAATAAATGGAGTTTTATTAATAAGATCGATCCTGGTTCAAAGTATTCTGTCTTTACAAATTTCAGCTAAAAAAATAGAGTATGAAATATTTACCAAAATAATCAAATGAATGAAAGAATTTCTATAAAAGAGTTCCTAAATATCAGGTTTTAATAGCTGTATTAAAGAAATATTTAGAAACAATTATGGATTCTCTTTGCATGTTGTTAAAACATTTAAAGAATGAATTAAACCTGAATTATAGAAAAATACTGGAAGCCCAGTAAAATTGATTACTTGGTGGGAGAATACAATCCTTTTTATAACTCAGATGCCCCCAAAAAATGTTCTTAGTACAGTAAACACATAGTAAAGCTTCTTCAGTCCTAATCACTTTATTTAAAATGAAACAAAACTGAAGTCATTCTATACCTTAAGCTAACTATCCTGGTAAAGTCATCATAAATTTTTTTTCTGAAACAAGTCAGGGGAGTTTGTAAGTATGTGAATTTCTTGTATTAATAAAGGATGAGAGCATTTAAACCTACTTTCATTCTTGAATTATTTTTAACATGCCTATATGAAGATTAAATACTTAAATATTTTGTTCTATATTACAAAGACTTTAAATGACTAATTCAATTTACCTCTTTTAATAGGTTCGTGTAAATTCATTAGTATGCTTAGGAAAGATTTTGGAATACTTGGATAAGTGGTTTGTACTTGATGATATCCTGCCCTTCTTACAACAAATTCCATCCAAGGAACCTGCAGTCCTCATGGGGATTTTAGGTAGCTGAAAACTTTGTCATTTGATACTACTTTATCATTTTACAGTCATGCAAATACATTTTTCACTCTATAGAACCATTGTACTCTACTTTCACATATATAGCGTTCAGTAATTGGAGAATGATGGGATAAATGCCATGATATAACTTTTCTTTGTGTTAATTTTAGCAAAAGCAGTAGAACCTTGACATTTAAAAAGGAATAAGACATTTGGGAATTCTAGCTTCACAAATACCATGATAGCACATAGTTTGCCATGTAAAATGGTACCAAAAAGAGAGGCAACAAAAACTACTTGAAATACTGATACTAGTCTTAATGGTAATTCCTAATGTTTATTTGGTACCAGTTTGTAAGAGGCTCTATGCTAAGTTATTTTATCTGCATTATCTTATTATGTACTCTCCAAAATCCAATGAGATATAGATATTATTATTTCTGTTTTATAATAGTAAACTGAGGCTCAGAAGTGAAGTAAGTTCTTAAAGAATACACAACTGATAAGTGATAGAACTGGTTTGGTTTTTTGTTTGTTTGTTTGTTTGTTTGTTTGTTTTAAATTCTTTCCCGAGGATATTTTTTCCATTGATATTTAGAGAGTGTAGAAGGAAGGGGGAAGGGCGAGTGGGAGAGAAGATCTGTGGGGAGAGACACATCAATGGGTTGCCTCCAGCACAGGCCCTTACCAGGGCTGGGAATTGAACTTGGAACCCAGGTACATGACTTTGACTGGGAATCCAACCCGTGAACTTTCAGTGCTCCTGATGATGCTCTAATCACTGAGCAATACCAGCCAGGGTTGGTTTTTAATTTAGATATGTTTAAATCTTAAGCCCTATGTTTCTCTGCTAAGTGATGTGCTGATAAAGCATATTAGCCTTACGGCACATTTTGTATCTGCATAATTAGATTATTATCTCAGGAACTCTGAACTTGTTTATGAACAGTTAAAGCTATGAGAGTCCAATCTGGAAATGTTGGAGGTCTACTCTACTAAGAGAAACAGACATAATTATGGAATCACAAAAACAAAAGTTCACTTGTTACTAAATTTGAAGTTCTTCATTAATTTTGAAGAAAAACTATATTACTCAGCCATGTATTTTTAACATCTATTACAGTGTCTGGTCTATTAGAAAGTCCTCAGTAAATATTTGCAAAAATGGTAAGCAAGTAATTTATTGTGGACTTCTGGAAACGTGGCAATTTTGGGATATGGTATGAAATATGCGAGCTCAAAGAAATTAGTCTTCTTGAGAAGGTGTTTGGTATAATGGAAAGAACCCTAGTCCCAATCTGTTCATCTATCAAATGAGGATGAAAATAACATCATTATAAGTGGAGTCTTGTGAGAAAACTGAAGAGAAAGTAATTAGTATAGTGCCTAACAAATAAGCATTCAGTACGTTCACAATAAAGGTGCTTTCAGTATATAAGTTAAGTGTACACTAACAGAATAATAGGAGATGGTGTGCTACTCAGTTTTGGATTCTATGCAAAATGCTTACAACACAGAAACATGTAGAGAATGAGGAGTAAATGTGCTCTGTTGATTAAATGCAGGGTTTGTGGAATAGGTGTAACCAGTAGTCTTGAAGGTCCAGTAAATTGATGCGATAATACAGGAGTGTTGTATGGAGATGAATTAAATTATTAAGATTCAAACATGTTGAGTGTTACTAGTTTAAGATGAATAAATGTATAGGAGCTCTACCCATACACTTTGAAGTAGATGTCTCTACTTAGTGAGAGGTCTGAATGTTTTCAGGGTAGAGGGCATTCTGTAATCTTCCTGCTGCACTGTAAGAACTGTACCTAGTTCTCATAGGCTTTTAATGTTATGCTTTTATTACATGTGCTCTTAAACCAAAGAATACAGGATAAATATGTCCTGGTGTTTAAATCTAAACTGATGGCAAATCTGGAAATCATTCCGTATGCCATATGTGAGAGCATCCTTATCCTAAGCACTGATAAGGAAACATTTGTAGCTAAACTGATTGTCAAGAGATTTCATGTAGATAAGCTGTTTTCCTAATTTCTATTAACTTGTGGTATTGAATTATAAAATTTTCTTATTCTTTTCTGTCAGGCATTTACAAATGTACTTTTACTCATAAGAAGTTGGGAATCACCAAAGAGCAGCTGGCTGGAAAAGTATTGCCTCATCTGATTCCTCTGAGTATTGAAAATAATCTTAATCTCAACCAGGTAGGAGGAATTTTGTGCTTCATTCACTTTATTCAGCTTACTGTTTCTTGGCATTAAATATATTACATATTTGTATTGGTATAATGAAGTATAATAAAAAGACTGAGAAGGATTACTGTTAAACTGAGAGTTCAGAAATAGATAGGCAGGCAAGATTCGGAAAACTGTCTCACAGAGTTAAGTGAAAGCTTATGGGTTTGAAGTAAGGGGTATGTGAGGTGGAAGGGTGGATTATTGGAGGCTCATTGGGAAATAGTAAATGAGCAGAATGTTGAAAGATGTATAGGATTTGGGGCTACTTTACATTTGGGTAGTAGACATGAACAAATAAATATTAATGTAATGTGCCTGGGATATATAGTCATTATTGCTACATAGCAAGTCACCATAAACTTGATGGTTTAAAACAACGAGCACTTATCTCAGTTTCTGTGGGTCAGCCAAACCAGAGCCTGAATTCTCTGCTCAGTTTCTCTTCTACCATCAAAGGCTAGATCTCACCTGAGGGACGGCTTGGCTGGTGTAAGGTTCTGCCTCTAAGCTCATTACATGGCTGTTGGCAGGATTCAGTTCCTTTTGGGCTGTTGGACTGAGGGCCTCAGTTGCTAGCTCTCTCTTAGCTGGATGCCACTGTCAATTCCTTGCTTCATGGATCTCTCCAACATGGAAACTTGTTTTATCAAAGCCGGAAAGAGAGAGAATCTGCTAGAAAGATGGAAATTACAGTCTTATAAAGTAATCAAGGGAATGACATTCCATTACCTTGGCCATGCTCTGTTGGTTACAGGCAGATCACAGGTCCTGCCAATGCTAAAAACAGGAGATTGCACAAAGGAATGAGTAGCAGAATGAAATCACAAGGAACCATTCTACCCTATCTGCCACTGGGAATGAAGAATTTAATTTGAATGAGAGATAACTATACTATAATAGAGGAGTAGTGATATAAGTTAGTCTAGAAAAGTTATGATTTAGATATTCAAACATTGAAGGTATGCTATATGAGCAAAGGAGTAATGTGTTCAGAATATTATAAAATTGCCTCTCTGCCTACCTTTATCACTGTGGTTATCACAGCTATGTACTTAACATGCCTGACTGTCCTGGAAGGCTGGTTTTTATAGCTTATTCTTCAATATATCTTCAGCAGTTAGTGCAGTGCCAGAAACAAAAATATTTATTGAGAGAAAATTTGAGGTACAGAGTAATGGCGTAGTTTGTTCACCACAGAACTAATGGTTAATGAAGTATAATGAAAAGACTGAGAAGGATTACTGTTAAACTGAGAGTTTAGAAATAGATAGGCAGGCAAGATTCGGAATTAAGGACTGAAAGTGAATTAGAGCAAAGCTAGGAGTTAAGCAAGAGAGGTTTGGGGAAAGTGCTGAGTAAATGGAATTTTGGAATTAGAGAAATGTATGACATGAATCAGACCCCAATTTTCATTGAGGAGGTAGGGTAAGCCTCTGGAAGTTTGTGTTCCTAAATTTTAATTTTGGGCTTTGTTTTATGGCGAAGTGGAGGGTCCTTTTCCCCACTGGTTGCTGGGGGGTGTAGTTCTTACAGTATCTTGAGAAAAGAATTTTCTAAGACTTGCGCAGGAGAATGAGTGATTTTTATTTGCCTAGACTTATACCCCTAAGTTTCCAAGGTACCATTTCCCTTAGTCCAGTCTTAGAAGAAATACAGCTGGGGTTTCAGTAAAATTAAAGGCAAAGCCAGTGTCTGGAGTTTCCTTTCCATGTTGGAGTGGGGTCCACTTCAGCATCAGGCTAGTTGCAGTCCATTAGTCCATTGTGTGTGGGGTGAATGCAAGGGAGCCCCACAAGCCCAGAGTCACATAAATCCCAAGAGTCCCAAGAGCAGAAGAGAGCAAGCTTCTTCTTCTTCTTTTTTTTTTTTTTTTTTTTTTAATATATTTTATTGATTTTGTACAGAGAGGAAGGGAGAGGGATAGAAACATCGACGAGAGAGAGTCATCGATCAGCTGCCTCTTGCACACCCCCTACTGGGGATATGCCCGCAATCAAGGTACATGCCCTTGACCGGAATCGAACCCAGGACCTTTCAGTCCCCAAGCCGACGCTCTATCCATTGAGCCAAACTGGTTTCGGCTTTTTTTTTTTTTTTTTTTTTTTTTTTTTAAATATATATATTTTATTGATTTTGTACAGAGAGGAAGGGAGAGAGATAGAGAGTTAGAAGAGAGCAAGCTTCTTTGTCCAGAGAATTAAGTATCCCACATTTTTGCGCCCTTGCAGTGGCCACACCCATTCTGGCCGGCCACCTCTGTCCCTAGGTGTGATTGGTAGCAACCACCTTCGCTAGTCCTTCCAACTTTACTGGGTATGTGTCTGTCTGCTCTTGTTGGACCCCTGGAGGGTAAAGTTGTAATTTCCTGGTAAAGCTGCCTAAATGACATGCTTGTAATATCTGGCTCCCCACTTTGCTCCTTTCCTATTATTAATAACTAGGTTAATTACAGCGGTTTCAGCTTGTTAAGTTTCTTTATATCTTGGATGGCACGGTTGAGATTATGATTGGCCAAAAAGGGACAAAGTGAATGATGAGGAAGAATAGGATGATCATATGTCCAAGAGAGTCTTCAACTTTGGGCCATTTCTGTTCTTATATTTATGATTTAAAGTATTTAAAATATTTCCAAGTGCTTATTTTAGGATATATAATTTCATTTGAAATGTGGTGTTAGATTTGCTCAGCTTTATGGTTGATTTTTTTTAGGGGCCTATTTTCATCAACAGAAATACTTGATTCATATGTTATAGCATTTTACAATTGCTAGTTGTCTAACTTAGAATGCTCGCTTTCATATATATTTTATGGATAGGGTTCCTAATTCAAGACTCTTCTGTCAGTTCTGATGTAAAATAATCTAAGTATATTATGATTATGTGAAAAAGATGAAGTAACTTAGGGAAATATATTTTTAGCATTTGATTGAAAAACAGCAAATTCGTCGAAACCTGTTTGGCTCAGTGGATGGAGCCTCGGTCTGCGGGCTGAGGGGTCTCAGGTTCGATTCTGGTCAGGGGTGTGTGCATTGGTTGCGGGCACGCCCCCGGTGGGGGGTGTGCAGGAGGCGGCTGGTCGATGCTTCTCTTTCATTGATGTTTCTGGCTCTCTATCCCTCTCTCTTCCTCTCTGTAAAATATCAATTAAAAAAAAAGAAAAAAGAAAAAGAAAAACAGCAAATTCCGTACAGCACAGCAACTAAAACACAATCACAGTGGTGTTTGGGAGGGTTTTTAAGATCACCCCAGATTCAGTGATTCCCTAGGACTCACAGGCCTCAGCATAACATTTTATTCTTGGGTGATTCATATTCATTTTCTCTCTCTCTCTCCCTCTCTCTCCCTCTCTCTCCCTCCCTCCCTCCCTCCCTCCCTCCCTCCCTCCCTCCCTCCCTCCCTCCTCCTCTCCCTTCCTCTCCCTCTCGCTCCCCCTCGCTCCCCCTCCCCCTCTTCCCCCCTCTCCCTCCCTCCTCCTCTCCCTTTCTCCTTCCCTCCCTCCCTCCCCCCTCCCCTTTTTCCTAACCCAAGGAGTGAGGACATTTTCCTCATTGCTTTTCAGAGACAAGGGGCGGACGGAGAGAGAAATACCGATGTGAGAGAGACACATATTGACTGCTTGCCTCTTGCATGTGCCCTCACTAGGGTCAAGGGGTGACTGCCACCCACTGAGCCATTCTGGCTGGAGTGAGTGGGTGACTTTTTATGTAAAAGAATATAAAGCAAAATCAGCAAAGGGAGAAGGCAAAGTAGGGGATGGGGGGGGGGGGCGAGGGTGCAGGCTGAATTCCAGAGATACCTCCTGCTGGAGTCACACAGGATGCACTTAATTTCCCAGGCAATGAGTTGTGACAATATGTGTGAAATGTTGCCAACCAGGCATTGGACTCAGTGCCTGGAGATTTTTATTGTAAGCTGATCAATAGCACCCTCTGCCTGTCATGTTCTCAAATTCAGGCTCCCAGAAGAAAAGCAGGTGTTCAGCATGAAATGTATTCTTTGTGCCGTTAGGCACAGTTTGCCACTATCATCAGTTAATGGGGGAACCCGCTAAATTGCTGGACACCAGCCAAGGGCCAACCTGGTAAGCAGGCCTTTCAAGGAGAGCAGTCAGGCCTGTGTTAATTCTTGCACCAACTACATGCGGCATGGATGACTGCCAGAAACATGTTGAGCAAATTAAGGTGGACATAGAAGAGGATTGAAAGAATAGTCAAAACTAGGTGCTAGAAGCCAAGCTAGTGTTTACTCACAGGGTGTGTGTTGGGGTGTGGGGGGGCAGTAAATGACAAGAAGAGAGCAGAAGGAATCTCTGGGATGCTGCCAATGCTCTGTTTCTTCATATGGCTGCTGGTTAAGTTCAGTTTGTGAATTTTTTGAGATGTGCACTTATATGTATATTTTTCTGTCAGTATGTTTTATTTCATTAAAAACTAAAAAACTAATTAGCAGAGAGTCATTCTCAGTAAGGAAACATGCCTTTTGTTACTCTCCTGGTAAGACAAAGGATAAATGGATGGTAGAGCATGGTGAGAGGCAATGCAATGTAGAAAAGAGCTAAGCTTTGGAGACACGGTATGAATTCTACTTAAGCCATATAAGTTATTTAATATCTCTGAGTAAGTTACATGCTTATTGATGTTAGAGAGGGGAAGTGAGAGAAACATTGATGTGAGAGAGAAATAGAATTTGTTGCCTCCTGTCTTTGCCCTGAAGGGAGATTCGAAGGACCCAAGACCTTTTCAGTGTAGAGGCCAACTCTCCAACCAGCTGAGCCACGCCAGCCAGGGCATTTGCTTTCTCTCTTGCTGACCTTGAGTTTCCTCATTTATAAAGTAGAAATGTTAGTAACTCAACTTTGAAGGGTTGTGAGGATTAATGAAATAGTGTATGTATAAGCACCTAGCACAAAGATGTAGTTAATGAAATTTGGTGAGGGGAAGGAAGTTTCTAGATTTTTCCTATAATATATGGTACCTTATATAATAAAAGGGTAATGAGCGAAATGACCAAACAAATTGACCAAACAGCGGAATAACTGGTCACTATGATGTGCACTGACCACCAGGAGGTAGATGCTCAATGCTGCCCCCTGGTGGTCAGTGTTCTCCCACAGGGGGAGTGCCACTCAGCCAGAAGTCAGGCAGATGGCTGGTAAGCTCAGCAGCGGTACAAGAGCCTTTCCTGTCTCCGCTGCAGTGCTAAGGATGACTGCTATCAGTTGGACATGCCCTGAGGGCTCCCAGACTGCATAGGCCAGGCTGAGGATACCCCCTTGCCCTCCCACCCAGTGCATGAATGTTGTGCACTGGGCCTCTAGTTATTTAAATACATTTTTAAATGATGATCCTGAAGGGGATTATAAGAATTATTTAACCAAAGTTTACTACATTAAGATATAGTATTAAATTTACTTTAAGAACTTTAATTATTTGAAAGTTAGATTATGTATGTTTATTTAGTATTTTTTAAAAATATATTTTTATTGATTTGAGAGAAAGGGAGATGGAGAGAGAAAGAAACATTAATGATGAGAAAGAATCATTGATTAGCTGTTTCCTGCACGATCCCCACTAGGGATCAAGCCTGCCACCCAGGCATGTTCCCTCAACCGAAATTGAACCTGGGACCCTTCAGTCTATAGGCTGACGCTCCAACCACTTAGCCAGATCCGCTAGGGCTACTTAGTATTTTTTAAAAAATATATATTTTATTGATTTATTACAGGAAGGAAGAGAGAGGGATAGAGAGTTAGAAACATCGATGAGAGAGAGTCATCGATCAGCTGCCTAATGGGGATGTGCCCTCAACCAAGGTACATGCCCTTGACCGGAATCGAACCCGGGACCTTTCAGTCTGCAGTCCGACGCTCTATCCACTGAGCCAAACCGGTTTCGGCAGTATTTCTAATGTTTTAGAAAACAAGGCTTACTTTGGCCAAACATTTTTATAATAATCTGAATACACAGTAATATTTTTATGCATTATTAAGCAGATTGCTTCTAGATATGCACAAATTTTGATTATTCTAGAAAAATCAATATTTAATAACTGCTGGGGATGAATTTATATGAGACACATGCAGTCTGCTGGGGATGAATTTATATGAGACTCATGAATAATAGCTGTTAGACAATCAGGATATAAAATTAATTGAGACATGTTTTCTGGAACTTAAAAGTCTCATCAACTATATACACCACCATACTAAGATATTGTGAAATCTTGCTCTGATATGCTGAATTTAAATACACTTTTTGTGATATCAATACTATGAATAGGCCATATTCTGATGAAAATAGAGGATATTATGTTTACTTGCTGAATTATCTTATTAGATAACATTTGTTGCTAACTTGAAACATTATAACCATATCAACTTCTTGTTATACCAGTTCAATTCGTTCATTTCCGTCATTAAAGAGATGCTTAATAGATTGGAGTCTGAACATAAGACTAAACTGGAACAACTTCACATAATGCAAGAACAGCAGAAGTAAGTAGGTTGCATGTGAATTTTTTGTGGTTAATTGTGAGATTAAACTTACCTAATGATTAGTTTCTGAAATACGGACTAGGAAAATTGATGGATTTTAGCTTGACTATATGTCAAGCATTAAAAAAAAAAAAAATCCCAGCATATTAAATTGAACTGAGTTAAAATAGATTTTTGTTGAAAATTTAATGTTATTTCTGAGTACAAAAGTATAAAATATGATATAATCTTAGCATTTTCTCTACATAGAGAGAATTCTGTTTCTGAGAAAATCTTGTCAGCATAGCCCGCTGGTGCTGTAAACTCAGGGTGTTGATCATCAAGAGAACCACTTAAACATATTTTTAAATATATTTAACCTTGGTGTTTTAATTTCCCCCTTCCTCTTTCCTCTAACTCCAGAAACATTTTTAGAACGTTCATTTTATGTTCAAAGGAAGAAAGGAAATGTAAAAGTTATGCACTGGAGCAGTGGTCGGCAAACTCATTAGTCAACAGAGCTAAATATCAACAGTACAACGATTGAAATTTCTTTTGAGAGCCAAATTTTTAAAATTTAAACTTCTTTAATGCCACTTCTTCAAAATAGACTCACCCAGGCTGTGGTATTTTGTGCAAGAGCCACACATAAGGGGCCAAAGAACCACATGTGGCTCCTGAGCTGTGGTTTGCCGACTGCTGCACTAGAGAATGCTAGTTTATTAAAATAAAATCTTTGCTGTATTCATTGCTCCAGGGGGAAAACACACACACACACACACACACACACACACACACACACACACACGGTTTTAGCATATTTGTTAAATTTTGACCATAAGCCAAAGACATCTGACAATCAGTAAAATTGATATCAATTATGAGCAAGGTTCCCAAATAGAAATTCTTTAGCTTCTACCCCAGTGTAAGATGAAGATTTATGTAAGTAAATACACAAGGTGTGTTGTAGAATGATGTGAAATAACCTTGTGTGCTCTAAGTGTTCTGTGATCTTCTATAATAGTAAAAGCATAATATGCTAATTAGACTGGATGTTCTTATGGACGAAGCCAGGGCTTCGAGGGAAGCCCAGGTCCCAGGTGCCAGAGGGAAGCCAGTGCCGGCATTGGGCCTCTAGTATAAATATGTATATTTATGATGTTTGATCAGTTGACTGTATAAACATAGAAATCCTGAAAAATAATTTTTAAAAATTTGTAACAGAAATTTTTAATATCTAGCATTTATACTTAAGGTATAAATGAAAATTATTTTTTCTTTTATTTTTTTTCTTTATTGATTAAGATCTTACATATGTGTTCTTATCCTCCCAATAACCCCCCCCCCCCTACACACACACACACACACACACACACACACACACACACATTCCCTTTTTCTTTTTCCAATATAAATCCTATCTTTTTTTTTTTCAAGATGTAGATCTGGTCTACATCACAATGATTATAGCATTTATTGTTAGAGTCAAACTTTTCCCATATTACATCTTATCTCTCAGTGTATAAACTGATGGTAAGAACCATGCTTGCCTGGTTTTAATACATTCTGAGTAAATTTTGCTGTAAATCTCAAATATTGAGTTAAAAAAAAAGACTTGTATACAAATGTTCATTTGGAGTTTAGGGCAAGCAGACATTACTACTAGTAAATAGTGAAAACTATTTATGACTCTTCTTAAAGAATGAAGTTGCATTTTCAGGGGTTCTAGTAAACTCCATGTAAATGAATTAATTTTAGCATGCATATTTCAAAAACATGCATTTCTTTTTATTACTT